ATCTTGCAAGAAGAAAACACTTTAGAAATGTTTCAGTATCCCCTCCAAAGAGTAGCAATCTCTGGTTTGGCCAGTGGCATTAGCTTCTCATCAAATTCCATTTCAATGTGTTACAATTTTGAGATAACCTGCTTAAAAAAACAAAAACAAACAAAGAAACTGAAAATGTCACCTTCTTGCCAGCAGGTATGTAAAAATAATTATGGCATAAAGATTGATAGTCAGATCCTTTTTATCTCAGATCCACTAAAACTACCAAAATATCATTGATGAGGCTCACAATTCTGGTAGATGTAATTGAATACTTTTTCCTCCTGTGACATATGTATTGGATGTGTGTGTAAGTGTGTCTGTTGGTGTGTGATCACTTGTAACTGCAAAGCTTAAGGTGGGGTAGGTAATTTTGGAGAAACCAGCTCGAGTGCGCTAGAATTTGAAAATACACAACCGGAAAAAATCTGCCACTTCCTTACAGAGCCCCTCCTCCAACACACACGAACGCGCACATGACCAATGAGGGCACGAGATAAGTTTGTGCACAGATGGAAGGCTGACAGGCAGGTAGGCCATCCAGTTATTTTAGCCGGGCCGGCTCAGATGATTGGTCGTGCTTTTTACAGTACTACGGCTTCCACAGATGACATTTTCTTATGTATTTTTTGTCAAAGCACTTAAGATATTCATTGCTATCGGGATGTTAAGAGCATTCCATGGAATATAACAAAAAGTGTATCTCGAGCCGGTTTCTCAAACTTACCTACCCCACCTTTAGTCCAAAAACAAAGACAATGAACTCTATTCTGTTAACAAAAACTCTAAGTGCTCACAGCTTATCCCCTGTAATGTCAAAATCCTCAAGTTGTTATTTCAATAATACAAAGTGTTTAGAATCAGCATCTGGATCTGCATTAGAGTACACAAAGTGATAGAATAAAAACAGGATTGTAATGCAATAGTTTATCCCTATCTTGCAAGAATAAAACACTTTAGAAATATGTCATGATCCCCACCAAAGAGTAGCATTCTCTTGTTTGGCCAGTGGCCTAGCTTCTCATCAAATTCCATTTAAATGTGTTACAATTTTGAGATAACCTGCTAAAAAAAACAAAAAACCAGACAAAGCAACTGGAAATGTCACCTTCTTGCCAGCAGTAATGTAAAATAAATATGGTATCTCCTTTAACTTTGAAGAGAAAGTAAATCATACAGATTCATAGTTGCAGTCAGATTCTTTTGAGCTAAAACTATCAAAATATCATTGATGAGGCTCACAATACTGGTAGATGTAATTTAATACTTTTACCCCGGGTGACATATGTATTGAATGTGTGTGTAAGTGTGTGTGTTAGCGTGTGAGAAGGTGTAAACTAAACAGCACACAGTCGTGTATTTTTAGGCTCCCGGAGAGTTCCTTCTCCTCAGTTAACTTCGCAGCTGGACATGACACTGTAACTGCTGAGAGAAGAAGTTACGCTAAAGCACTTTCCACTACGATGATTACATACCCATGCAGGGCAGGGTTATCTTCTGACCCCGTCCCTGTAGGGTTTGAGAGGGTATGGTCTCCCCCCCCGTCCCCACAGAGGAGATCCCACTCCCCCTCTGCTGAGGAAATACCAGCCTGCCAATTAGACACGGGATGGGATTCCTGTGTGGCTGAGCGCACAGAGCAGGTCTTTACAGCAAATCAAAAACGCATTTTAATTCAAATACAACTTATTTGTGTTGAAGGAAAAGGCTGCATTTGCACTGTGTTGTATTGCAACGTTCCTGAATAAGTGTCCTAATGTCAAAACACAATCAGTTTTAGATGCCCTAAAGACAAAAAGATGAACATCAGTGAATTCCAGCTTTGTTTTAAATGATATCAAATAGCTTTTTCCTTGCAGAAGGATAAAACTAAATAGTGGATAGTGGTGGTCTAATGGATAGTGAGGTGGGCTGAAGATCGGAAGATCGGAAGGTTGTGAGTTCAAATCCCGCCAGGAACAACACCACTAGTGTGCCCTTGATTAAGGCACTTAGCCCTCAGTTACTCCAGGGAGAATGTCCCTGTTGGTCATTGTAAGTCGCTTTGGATAAAAGCGTCAGCTAAATGAAATTAAATAAAAATTGAAAAGAAGAGCAGCAGTGACAGCATTAGCTCTAAACAGAGAAAAAACACTTTTAGCACAACTATATTGCCAAAAAAGACAAAGACTACTTCACAGCATGTGCATGTGATCCAGCGCAGTAACACAGCAGTTAGCACTTAGCACTTAAGGATCAGCGAATAAACAAATCTTGTGTGTTTTTCGGGATGAATCCATAACAAAGTAATGACTCCAAACAGGAAAAGTCCTCATGACGGTGTTTTCAGGCCCAGCTGAGTTCAGGAGCAGCAGCAGGAGGAGGGGGAGGAGGACCACACATCAGGAGAGAGACTGTTTAAAAACTCAGTGTGTTTGTGTTTGCCTGAGAGTGTGTGTGTGGCTGATTACCATGCCAAGAAAACAATGTGTTCAGACTCCTTGGAGGGTTGTCCCACGCTGTGCAGAGTGTCGCTCCAAATACGCCGAGACAGCAGACAGAGAGAGAGAGAGAAGTAATGAAATCTTACAGATATTTCCCTTTTAAGGTGGAGGCAGTGTGTGTGAGCGTTGCACGTTGAAAGCGTTTGCCCTAGCGAGCTGGGGAGTCTCTAACTCAAGCAGGGAGCGTGCTCAGCCGCTTCATTACAGTTTGTAAACACACACAGTTTACCGTCAGTTCAATAGTGTAGTAACGTTCTGTTTGTTTGCTCTCTAAGAAGATACGTCTGTGTCTTTCATCGCTGAATATCTCTTTCTCCTGGTCTGGTTGTAATTACTCTGTGAAGAGGACGCCAACGTTTGATGGCAGCTGCCAAAGAAGTGTGTGTCAGAAATATATCAGAACACCCAAAGCAATATTATAAACAGACACACACTGGTATCAAACGAGAAGCTAATCCTTATTTTTCATGCGTTCTTTTAAGAATTTGCAGCAACAATTGTCAAATTCTGCAGATACATACATGCAGTCTTTTCTGTCTTCACTTCGCTTAGGAAAATATTGTGATTTCTGTTTAAATCATCACCAATGTTGCAAAGTTACGTGAAATGTATATCTTAGTTTGGATAAAAGAAACTGCTGAAGTGGCTAAATGACATGAAGTATAATTCAACGTTTTGGTAACTGCCAATGTGGCAAAGTTATGTAAAAGACTGTTCTATGTTTGGATTTGAAATAACTGCCAAAGTGTGCAAAGTAACATGAAGGATAAGTCAAATTTTGGGTAAAAATAACAACGGAAGAGGTTAAGTTAAAAAAAAGTCCTTGTTTGGGTTCAAATAACCACATAAGTTGCAGACACTCTCTCTTTGCTTTCTATTTTACAGGTATTTCAGAAACACCAATTACCATGCCTTTTCTTCCCTTAGTATAGCAACACACAGTGTATGAGAATATCCTGCTGTTCTTCAAAGTCCATCCACACTGGTGTTTTATTCTAAAGGTGACACCTCTCTGATCGACATCTCACCTGAGTTGAGCTGATGAGATAAATGTGTTGCTGGAGGGTGAGAATTACATTTTAACTCTCGTTTGACCCGAAGTCTGATAACACACAGACTCAGAAGAGCACACACAAACACACACAGAAGCGCAGACATTGAGATGGTAATTAGCTCCTCTCTCTGCTCCTGCATTCAGAAAAGTAAAAGAGACATCTGATGACCGGTCAGCCACCTCCCCAGCCTTTGTCCACACAGACCAATAAAGAGAGTGAGTGAGCCACGCCTCAGTGCCCTCACCCCCCCCTCACCCACACCTCGGCAACAATAGGCCTCTCTGACTCGCTACACTCTCTTTGTCCGCCTCCTTCTCAATACAACTCAATAAATCGCCCTGACAGGTTTCCAAACTCTCAGGATCGGGCGATTCAAATGAACTCTTGCATTGTTATCGGGGGAAGACGATCATAAGCTTTGTTTGGTCCTCCTGACGCTTCACGCACCCGTTTAGTGTCCTTTCAGCGTCCGTCAAACTGTGTTTTACACCGTTTGCGCATCTTGAACTTTACTGTTTTTCTTCAGAGAATAGAGCTTGACATTGGGGGAAAGTGGGTGCAGGTACTGTGTGTTGTTTATTAGAGCGGTGAGGGAAGACCTCTATAGGAAACCACAACCTCACATCTGTTCTGGTGAAGTGCATAACTCAACCAAGATGGACCAATTTGAAGACAGCAAGTTGTACCGTCTGTCCCATCTTTCAGCAATTACAAAAACATGTAACTATGAATTCCTGGAGGGTCTTTCCAAAAATTGCTATGATCTAAGAATATTTCAGAAAGTGGAAAACTGGGGGCTGATCTTTGAGAATAAGAAAGTGGTAAGTCTCTGCAAAGCAAGTCGGATTTAAGTCACAGAAAGTACTTTTTAAGTCTCAGTTTTTAACTTGGAACTATCAAATAACTATATTCATTGAATGGACTTGTTCCCAGCTGCCAAACAATTGCAACATTTTGGAGGGGATACTTGTATATTGTCTCATTGAAATAGTCAGGATTTAGACTGAATTGCAGTTTTCTTATAAAGACTTCAGAATAAACTAGGGGGACATGACTCAAGGTTTGTATGAAATCATTCAATAATGTGATGATTGATGATTTTTCTTCTATGAAACAACTTTTCTCTGTTTCAATAACTTTAATAACCCCCTTAAAATAACCCAAACCCTTAACAAGAGTCATAGGACGATACAATTCAACAACTTAAAAAAAAGTAGACACAGGCACAAAAAAATACTTGAGAATTAAATTGATGCTTCACTTGGACATGTGTTGTTTTACATAAAATGTGTCACCAATGATCAGAGAGTTATATCAAATGATTTCAGGGGAAATGTCAGGACTTAATAAAACTATCAATTTAATTATGTGTTATATTAGGATAGACGTTTTTTTCCATGACTGACGGAACAACCTGTTTTGTGTTTCTCAGCAGAAGCTCCATATTGGAGCCGGCCTGACCGGATGGACAAGAAGCTGCTGGCTGTTCCCGCCGCCAACACAGTAAAGTTTCGCTGTGCCGCGTCAGGAAACCCGCAGCCCACCATCCACTGGCTGAAGAACGGGAAAGAGTTCAAGGGAGAGCAGAGGATGGGAGGCATCAAGGTGAGAGACCTTCAAACATGTTAACACTTAAAGGTTAGAAGATCAGGGCTGTGATATAGAGACTCAAATTGAGGCTCCAAAAAAAATCTGTTGGCAGAAGGTGATGCTCTGCCCGTCTTGAGCAACCATCAATGCCTTTAAGCAAAGCATCTTAATCCCCTGCTCGTCCAGTGGAGCTGCTGTGTGTCTATCAGTAGATCAGTGAGAGTGTTGCAATGCTCCCTGGCCTGAATTGCTATAACTGGAGAAGTGTGAAGCAAAGTGCTGAAAGAGCCCTCATGCTCTGAAATCTTCTCACGGAGAATAAAGGTCAGTGAACGCACCGTGGGGATGGACGCCCCCAGCAGGACTCAGGAAGCTCTTAGCCCTGGCTAAACTGAGCTAAATAAATTGAAGGGGTCAAACTGCTGTGCTGGAAACAGAGAGGTACAGAGATGCGTGTTCGCGTGATAGCTGGATGTTGACAGTAATGCAGTGCAGCAAACAGCTGTTGTACTCAGTTTTGTCATCGGATTCACTCTAAACACTGGGCTCTCATGTGGAATGGCACTGCTTAAAGTAACAGGGCTTGGTTTACTTTTGTGTTCGTTTAATGGCCCTGAGCTGCGGGATTAAAAGACAAATTTAGTGCGGTAAGAACATCGGAATTCAAACAGTCAAAACGTGTGTTTTGGTTCAAAATAAACTCAAACATAATGATGTATAAGTTCAAAAATGATGCCCGGAGATGTAAAACCTTCCAGGGTCATGTGTTTTTTTCTGCCTTCTATCTATTCCTTGCATGATCTTAATTAAATATTGATGAGGGGAGAGAAATACCCGTAAATATGCTGCCGTCAGAACTTATTTGTACACACTTTTAGTGCAAACATTGGTCTGTTTGCATTCAAAACATGTTTGCACTGTTGAGTCAGGTAAAGCTTTATAAAGACAATAAGCAGCAAGTAGTGAGTTTTTATCCTCTGATATGGAAACTACATCTTCTTACTCCAGCAGAGCAAAGAGTGTGTGTCAGGCTGGTTGTTAGGGTGGTGAGATACGCTTTCTCCCCAGTGGAGGTTTGGCATTTAAAGAGTTAAATGTAATGAGATCCTGCAGCTATTAACAGTTTACAGAGATCTCCAACATCTGCTCCCAGCAGACCAACAGCAGTTGTCTCCCTCCCTCTGTCCCCACTCTCACACACACACATACACACACAAACGTACACACAGATTCACACACACACACCTGTCACCAGCCCTCAGGACTCTGGAGTGGCTCCTTGACAGTAACTTTTAGCATGTGAAGTATGCGTGAATTTGCTGATGATAAAGTTTGTAGCTGCATTGTTAGCATTGGATTAATCCCAGACTGACCAATCAGAGCACTTTATTCAATCTGTTCACCAAATCACTGACTTTAATCCTAAAGAGGTCTTTTTAGCATGGAAAATGACTCACCAATGACACATTAAAGGACATGATAAAGATGTAACTGATGCAGTATTAAGATATTTTAATGTCAGCATATTCAGCATAATGTCTCAAGAGTGCTTGTTTATTTCTCTCTGCAGCAGTAGCTATTTCATACACGCATGCTATCCTATGGGACGTTACATGTATAATTAGCGAGCGATATGTATAGCTGACTATCCACGGTAAGCCTTTACAGCGTACGTGAGGTCCAGTTGGCCTTGTAACGGTGTTGTCAGTGTGAGCTGTGACACTAAGTTGTCACCAAGCCGCCGAAACAAATTCCTGTACATTTTCCGCTCTGTATAGCTCAGCGTGTCGAGCCTGGCACCGACTGTACTGTGGGTTTAGTTCCCACTGTGGCCACCCATGCTGAAAGTGATGGCACTCTAATGGTGCCGTGAAGTATTTTGGTGTCCAACTTATTGGGACATTATATATTTGTTTCTGTATGTCAGCTTGGTGGTCAAATCGATTCGGAGAGATCTTTGTGACTGCTGCTATGTAAATATGTTTTAATTTCATTATCATTTGCTTTTCTGCACACAATCAGACTCTCAACTAAAATGTTTTTGCCTTGTTGCTCTTCTTGCAGAAACACATGGTCCCCCTAAATTAACTTGTCTTATTTTTGGTATGGATAAGGGTCAAAGGGTCAGTTTTTCCTAAATCACCAAATAATAAACGTTCTTTAAATACCTACCTTAATTTGCGGACATGCAAAACTGGGACTTTTAATTAACTTTCAGTACATTTTGCTCTTTTTATAACTTGCATACTTAATGCTTCTAAGCGCCTTAACTTTACTTAACATTGCTGTAGCTTCGGACATCCTTATGCAATGTTTAAGTCATACGATTTTAGCTTAAAGCTTAATCTTACATTCTCGTTTTTTAGATATATGTGTTGTAATAACTACAAATCACTGTATTAGGCAAGGCAAGGCAAGTTTATTTATATAGCACCTTTCAACACAAGGTAATTCAAAGTGCTTAGCGTGTGTTTCTTTAACAAATTCCTGCACATGCATCATGTCTCCCATTGATGAAGATGTAAGACTGGAGGTGGCAGTTATTGAGACATTCCTTCTGTGTATTTATCGAGATGTTATCACACGCCCACCCCCCCCCCCCCCTCCTGTCCTGGAGCTGTTTTAAAATCCAGTTATCCATACACCATGTGGCCGCTGTTGGCCTTGAGGGAGGTGAGCGGAGGTCACCCTCTATAGAATCAGGGTGCTGGGTGACAGACAAGCCCCTGACATGGCCTGGCTTCAGAGGGGTCAGGGGTAACGGCTTCACCCACCCCGACGTCTCAACCTCTGCTAGCTCAAGCTCCACCATCCTGCAGGAAATGAGTCCAGAACAATGGAAGTGAAGGAAATGTTGGCAATGGTGCTCAATCATTTAAAAAGTATATCTTAAAAACTCATCAGTAAATGCACAGGCTGAAAATCAAGTCACATTATCTCACATTAGGTTGAGTGATGTGCCTAAGACCATTACATTGTCACCTCATTTTTAACATGGTTATGATTTAGATCCTGTTGTGAGTGTTCGTGCACTGCCTTTCCCAGAGAGCACCTGTCAGTCACACTGTGCACTGTGTGGCGTCTTGATTATTTATTCCTTAAGCGTTTCTGTAGATGACCCTCTTCTGTCTTTGTCCTTAAAGACAAAACGGCTGCTGCTCAAATGTCCTGCCATCTGGGATTATTTCTGACATTATTCGAAAGACTCATAGTGCTGTGGAAGCTGCAGGAAACATAGATTGCATTTTTTGTTCACTACAGTAGATGCTTTCTTTTTTCAGACAACCCTGACAAGAAACTCCAACTCATGGTTGGTCACTTTAGGCGAAAAGATACCTAAAGATCAGTTTGTATTAAGTATTCAAACACGGCTGCAGATTGAATCGTCATTGTGTTAGACAGAAAGCGATCTGTTGTCAGAGAACACATTTTCTGCGGTGCATTCAGTGTCGCCGTGTCCCTGCCCTCATCACCCCTCCTCACATCTTCCTGTGATGAGTTCATCTTGCAGGGCTGGAGGAAGAAGGGGGACCTCCAGAGTCCTGACAGCCTGACAATGGCCTTCTAAAGACTCTATTCCTCCAACAGGGTCCTCAAGGTGAAGCTGTCTTCCTCTGGCAGCCGTATGGAAATGACAAGATCATTTTTTATTTGACAGGCATGGTTCATTTCTGAATGAAGCGGACCGTGTCAGATTTTTTAAAGATTGGTGATGGGATGATTTGTCAGGCGTCCCTCAGGGCTGGGACAGTGTGTGTGGCTTTAACGTGACTCACTAACTGATCCATGCTGCATCAGAAGTGAGTCCTCTCCACTCAGCACAGTGTGTCGTTGACTCTGAGTGCCTTCAGATCAGTGTGAGGGAAAGTTACTTACTGAGCGGACCATTAGGGTCCATTACCCACCTTCTTTCTGGAGTGCCTGAAAGTGGCCTTTCTGAGGATTCACTGTGTTCCTCTTTGTTCCTTGAATACATCACTTTCAACAAGGGGTTTAGTCTCATTTACAGGGCTAAACAATTTGTGAAATAGGATATACAGTATATCTATAGTCTCACCAGATCCAATTACTGTAGAAAATGCTTTATATTGAGCAGTATTTTCTTTGTGTAAAGGACTTTTTAAGGACTTTTCAATGACAGGTTCACCTGCTTTAACTCAAAGGAAAGTATTATGTAAGGCATATGGAACCTAAAGTTGTCCAAGAACAAACCACCTTTAACCATGACCTCTCCTTGATTCAGCCTTTTTCTTAAATGTATATATTTTTGTAATATTGTATTATAATATTTATGTCATCTATATATACTGTTATTTTTTTCAGCTTCCCAGCGAAAACATTTCAGTGACTTGTATAATCGTGGGAAAAATGCTTGTAGTTTTGAAAGAGATTAACAGCAAAGTGTATAGTACATAGTTGTATAAATATAACTCCTACAAGTTTGAATCAGACAAATCCTCAGATTATCCAGCTTTACACTAGCTGTACACTAATGTCTTCTGAGTATATTTTTTCCCATCAGCACGCTAAAGGTTGTTAAGACATTCACTTCTATCTTACATGCGCTTTGTAAGTCTATTGAAATGCAACACGGAGAACCAAACGGTACGTTTGTTGAAACTAAATGACACGGTTAATAGGATGTGCGGCTCATTGGTAAAATTGGAAATTAAATTCCATCAGGGCGATGTGCCGGAGCTTTGTGCTTCTTCCCCAGACAACTGTGGTGCTCCAAGCCTCCTCCGTTATAGAGGGGCAGGGCCTAGAAGTCAAAGTTCACCTCTCTATTGAGCCATCAGATGGGAGGTGGGGAGAGGGGCGTGTCTCCAGCCCATTGAACAGGCCTCAGTCTTTGACAGCCAAAGCCAATGCTGTTGTATGCTGCCACATATGCTGCAAGGGATTTTATTGTGTTCATGCTAAACTGCGGCGGCACAAAGCGGGACAAAAGTTGACAATGTAATTATTGTGTATCTTCTAACCCAGCGCTTAAATGATTTTTCAAACCCCATCTTGACAGGTTTCCAAGGCAGGCCTCTTTAACTGGCTTCACACTGTTACTTTTTAAGACTTTAAGCACTTTAAATCCTTGTTTTACCGTGCCAGGTTTTAACACAGCCTTGATTGTGAGTCTCTGTAGGCCGCGTAGGAATTGCTACACTTTGCAAGATTATTTTTGGACTCTTTTTTAAATTCTATCACTTCCATCGTCATTCACCTTTCTCCCCTGTCGTTTTACCCAAATACACTAGAGTTATCAAAAGACAGATTATCTTGTTTATTTGGTTTTCTCCTGCACACTCCACATTTTACGGTCTTCTCATCTTTGTTGATGCAATGCCAGGTAGAGCCAACCCCAGTCAATAGACCCACAAACTTTACAAAGCGTTAATAGCCAGCCCCTAGGGTCTCTTCTATCTATTTCCTCTTTCTCCGTAGGTCAAATTAGACGGTAGCGCAGATCCGGGCCGCTGCTCCGCTCTGACACAGTCATCAATTCTGGTAACTGGTTCTGACAGGGCTATTTTGCGAGGTGAAGACGGAGGGTTTGGACTATAAAGAGAGCAGAGCTTCCTGTGTTTTCCCAGACAACTGCTACGCTGCAAAAAATAAAATGTCTGCATGCTTATGAACCGTTTAAGCTGGCAGTCGAGTCGTGAATTCTTTTTATGATTTAACATAAATGAAAGAATCTGCCAATAGGGTGAGCTAACTTCTCTGGCAGCTTCTGTAAGGCAAGAGCAAATCTTAAAAGAAGCGGATACATGCATTTGTCTCAAGATATATCATGCATCATAAATCAATGCAAATCCAAATCTGCTCCTTGTTCCTTTCTCCTCTGGGCAAATACTTTTTGCAGTATGAAACTCCCCTGTCCATTCCCATGGCTTGTGCCCTTCTGTAGGTTCACAGCCAAAGCCCTAAAACCTTTAAAGCCTTGTATGACTCTAACGTAAGCTCCTTAATAATTTAATTCTGTTTGGAATCTGGCATGATTGGATGGGATGGGATTATCACGTTCGGGGACTAATGCTGCAGGTTCAACAGGGGTTAGCCAATGTAACATGGTCATTAAAGCAAGTGGATTGGACATGTCACTCAAAGTTAATAACTACTACACACATGTGATTCCATTTGGGTGAATGTGCAGTGGAGAAATACCTTTCTCTAGTGGTTATCAACACTTTGAGCAGCTGTAACAGTGGAGGCAGTAATAGTCCAAATTGGGGAAAAAACAGGACAATGAAACTTTGCTGAAAGTGGCCACTGTCCCCGTGTGTGACAGATATATAACATAATAATGGCTTATGATTACAACTTTTTATATAAAGTTGAGAGTTTTGTTGTTTTCTCTATTAGACCTTGCGTAGTCTTGCTTTAAGATAAGTTAACAACAAGTCTAAGACAAAAAGCATCAACAAATTACTTTTGGCTGGTTTGCAAATTGTAACAACTGTTAATATAAAAAAACAGCAATAAAGTGTGCCCGGATACATTTTGAAGGTCTGGTTTGGGGATTTTCCTGTTGCAGATTCTTTTAAAGTATGAAATACTCCTCTGCAGATTGTGTTAGAAATACATTGAGCTAAAACAGGCTGTGACATGAGTAGCAACAAAGAAGATGCATTTCCTGACAGCAACCATAGTCATAAGAAGTTTAATTTAAATCAGAATCTGCACAGTTAGTACAGCTGTCAGAAGAAGTTGGATAGGCCAGCACCTCAGAAGAAGTGAATGTACTTTCCCTTCTTTAAGTTGTCAGTGAATGATGTATTGTTATGATATGGAGGCCTAAATAAACCATAACTCTGATCACAGTCTCTCTCTGTTTCTGTTGGTGGTCTTGGCCTCTAAAGAGCATCGACTTCAGCTCGTATTTTACCACCTTCTTCCCTCCTCATACGTCGCCTCTTTTCTCGCCTCCCCCCCCCTCTCCTCGGGCTCAGCGACCGCAGCATAAGGCGTCACTCATCTGCTCATGAGAGCCGCCATTGACTTCAGTTTGACTCCCCGGCTCTGAGAGGGGTAGACGGGGTGGAGCCAGCCGCTCTCAAAAAACCATTTGCCAGCGTTGAGCGGGCTGCCTGCTCAACGTTACCATGCAACTGCAGAAAGCACACACAGGCATAATATTTACACTGTTACACTATTTTCCGCATGTGCCTCCAAGAGAGAGTTAAGGAGTGTGTACTGTAAGACAGAGGGAGAAAAAGAAGTAGGAGGGGGGGACGTAACCTACAAATATATACGTTCTGTGAATGGCTGGCCTCCTACCTAAATGCGTGGGGTTAAACGTTTGTGAAAACACTCTGCGTCGGCACATTTTCCTACGCAGGTGATGTTAAGTGTTCCACCCTGAAAAGCCTCTTTGTTGACATCACTCACTCCCGTCTTTAGTCATTCTGACCTCTTTCGGAGGAGTTCACTCCACGCTTGTCTCGCAGCAGTGAGCGTCTGCATGTTTCCACTCACGCCGTGGAGGTCGGCCCGTGGAGACTCTGCCAGCGATGCGTAGCAGGTTCTGTGTTCTCGCTGTGCTGTGCTGCTCACTCTCTGCCTCTGAGCAGCTTCTGAATCTGTCAAGTTATTATCTGTCTGTCTCTGCTGCCACACAGCCACACCTGCTTTCAATTACTACACAAAATGTACCCTTCGACTCTCCGGGAGAGGATTGCTCTTGACTGGCACAGTGGAACCAATTTTAGAGGTGCAGAAGAAGAAAAAAAAGGCTGCCTGCCATCACTGCAGGGAGAGATGAAATGATTTCAAGAGACTTTCTGAGCTGTTTTTCATCAACATAATCCCATATGAGCATTTCTTTTATATGAATTAGTTTAAATGAAATATTTGGGGCTTTGTGGCATTCTTTTTTAAGGCTCCTGTCCATCTTTGTTTTACAGCGTGTTGAGCAATCTGTCATCTTGAGAATTACTGAATAGATCCTCTCACATTTCTTCAGTGTAAAATTATTTCTTATCAAATCTGATCCCAAGTGGACTTTCCTCTCCACACTGAACCCTTTTGATCTCAGTTTTCTGTGGGCACACCGAGATGTTTCCCATCAAGACGTTGTCCATGTCAAAACATTTTTCGGCTCATCACGTCTATCCTGCGTCAACCAGTACACAATTATTACAGAGAGTTTAAGTTGTTATACTGGTTTTCTTTTGTGGAAAGAGTGCTCATTTGTTGTGAAAGAGTTGCTTCATCTTGTGAATTAGTGTACAGTATTTATCTGGATCTACTAAGTGTATCTTGGTTGCATAGTTCCTAATCTCCCAAACTGCTCCCGTGTTATTCTTGTTAAGGATTATAAATCCCAAAATGTATACTATGTATTCAATGTATATTTCTGACTTATTCTGTATATATTTTACAGTTCATTTTATATTACGTACTCCGGACACACTTAACTCACCCTGAGATTTATTGAAAAAAGAGCTCCGTGTCCTCACACATCAATTTGTGTCATGACAACAAATCCTGACATCTCCCCTCCCCCCCCCCAGCTGAGACACCAGCAGTGGAGTCTGGTGATGGAGAGCGCCGTGCCGTCAGACCGGGGAAACTACACCTGTGTGGTGCAGAACAAGTACGGCGCCATCACCCACACCTACCAACTGGATGTGCTCGGTAAACAACCCTCACTCATTTACTCTGCTTCTGTAAACAAGGAATACATTAAAATGCGCTAAAAACACACCAGAGAGAAGTTTCTACAGCATAATTCCCAAGCATGACTAATGACTCCGTGCTTTCTCCGACAGAGCGCTCCCCCCACAGACCCATCCTGCAGGCCGGCCTCCCAGCCAATCAGTCGGTGGTGGTGGGCAGCGACGTGGAGTTTCACTGTAAGGTGTACAGCGACGCCCAGCCGCACATCCAGTGGCTCAAACACATCGAGGTCAACGGCAGCCGCTACGGCGCCGACGGCGTTCCCTACGTCAACATCCTGAAGGTGGGTCTGCGGCACACACCTCTAATGAGCACCGGCCGGGAGCACAGCAGCACTTTATGATAATTTCACTCATAATTAATCCCTCCTAAATGTCTTGTGTAATGAGTTTTACGGTAGGAGGGTCTGCAGGGCCCGCAGGCTCTTTTCACTGCAGCGTATAATTGAAGAGCTCATTCCTGCAACACCTTCATTATGGGAAGGCATATAGAGAAAACGTTCACTCATTAACCAAAAAACATGACCGTAAATCACACGACAGATGTTCTGATCGTGGCACCTGCACTGCTTCAGTTTTGACAGGAGATCATGCATTTTAGCACCTAATTGTAGCACTGTCCTGAATAATGTAGGCAACTCGTTGATGTAGATTAAATTCATTCATTAAAGCTGGAATTGTTCTTTTGATTTCCATAGCAGGACCACAACAGAATTACCAACATGATAAATGTCAATCATTTTATATATTTACATTTCTTAAAAATGTATTTCATCCGATATGTGTTACGTTAAAAGTCCTGAACTTTACTTATTGGATTTTAAAACAAATAATAGGAGAAACAAAAACATAAACAGCTTTATTTCGATTTTCTGAAAGATTAGCCAAAGGGCAAACTAAAGAAGGAAAATGTCAGAAGACAAAACGAAGAAAAGCTAACATTTATGATATAGTAGCACCCTTAAAAAAAAAAGCCTTAATCCACGTTAAAGGTCACATTTTTAGGCTAGACCTGCTTCAATCAACTTCGATTGATTGGTGTTGTTGATTGAACCCGATGTGTTCACTTTTTCCTACAATGAACTCTTCAATTATACATACACAAGTTTGCGAAATAGTTTGTCTATCTGACCTTTATCTATATATAGATTTTGCATTCATCTGTGTAAAGTGTTTTTGGGTAAACTTTTCAGATGTTTTGTTTGTCTGCAGCCTCTAAGGTTGTCCTGGAGCTGCATCTTGTTACTCTTTTAAAAGGCATTTCTCAATCCCAAGCACTCCCTTGTGAAATAAAGGTTAAATAAACACAGTAGGGAAGGCGTCAGATAGACTTAGGAGGGTTTGCTCCTGCTAAGGAGAAACTGCTGGAGGTCTCATCACCTCTTCAGGCTGTGTTGGTGTTCAAGAATAGAGTAGAAAGCATTCCTCACCGAGGAGGACACCACCCTAAACCCACTGCGAGGCGTGTTTTTTATTTATTTGGGGTGAACAGAGGAAGACTCCCATCGAAAAAAAAACCAAGAAGGCCTTTTGCTTTCTTATTTTGCGTCTCTCTTCTTCTTATTTTTTGCCTCTCAAGAGAGCGAGGGAATAAAACAAACATCTGGTTTGGACTAAGTTAACTGCCGTGGTGGCGGCAACACAGGGAGAGAGACGGGCTCTGTTAACCGCCGCTGCCGTCAGATGTGCTGCGTCGCGTGGTTTGAGGAGGAGGAGGAGGAGAGAGGGAAGAGGCACCCAAAAAAGCCATGGAAAAAATGAGTGAAGGAATACAAGGAAGGGCAAAGTCAGCAGGGAGAGGGAATGTGGGACAGAGCGGTGGGTAAAGATGGAGAGGCAGAGACAGAAGGAATGAGAGAGAAATAAATAAGAAGGGGGGAAATAGAAACACGAGCAGGGAGAAAGAGACAGAGAAATAACAAAAGGAGAGAAGCAGGAGACATGAAATCAGTAACATAACATCTATTCCTAAAAGATGGATTGAGGCTTTCAAACGGAGGTTTACTTTATTCAGCAGTGACTTGAAGCGAGTTAAAAAATAATGATATCAAGGTAGAAGAGAGTACTCAGTTATACACCTGGCTGCATCAATGATGGATTATTTTGCTGCTGAAGCCTTAATTAATAACATTCATGCGCACGAGGGACACTCATCGCCCTAGCAGATCCTGGCTTCATAATCTGTTTCAGAAAATCATTTACTACAAAGAATATAAAATATATTTATAATGTGAACGGTTGGCACCAAAGTAGAAGGTTATTTAAAGTGAAAATAATCAAGGAAAACACATTAAACATGACGTCAGAGGAACCACCTCAACTCTAAGGAACAGTTTGAAATATGTTTAATCAAGTATATTGCCATGGTAGCTGACAGTCAGTTAGCTTAGCATAGCATAGCATAGCATAGCGACTGAAAAAAGCTATCCTGGATCTGACTAAAGGTAAAAAAAATACCAGCACCTCTAAAGCACACTAATTAAATGTTTAACTTTTCCTTTAAAAGGCTCTTATTCACAGTATTTAGCTAAATAAAACTACCAGAATGAGCTATTAAACACTTACATTAAAGTAAATATCATTTTGATAAAGCTTCTAAGTAAAAATGTGATCAGGACGTCATCAGCCCTGTTGGCAGTGTTATTCAAATGTTTTCTAGATCAGATTACCGTCGCGACTTTAAAAAAAAAAAGTGACTCAAACAAGAGAGAAATGAGGGAGGAGAGACGGGGAGAAAGAGGAGGAGGGAGACAGGCCAAGAGAAAGAGAGAAAGAGGGGGGAAAGGAAGCCTAGACCGCGGCTCCACGCTCTATTTTCGACTACCACATAATTGAAACAGTATTTACTGAGATCTGTGTGTGCCTCTCTCTACACTCTCACCACATTTCATTCAGACTCTCAGCGACATCTCATGTGTGGCATACACCATATAACTTAAATACAGCTGGGGGTGGGAGGAGGGGGTCATGCGTGATTTTATTTTTTTGAGAAATGCCTGAATCGCTCTTTTGATGCCTGGAAAAAGAGTTAACGATGAGCGGCTCGGCCCAGCGTGGGGAGGGGAGAGGGAGGGCGTCTGGAGCCGAGCCCTGGATGTTCATTAAGCAACCATAAAACATGATATGTTTTCTCCTTTATGTGCTTAGCCCGTTTAATTATTCATCTGCAGTTTCTCTACCGGAGTGCCTGTCACGAGCAATGTGTGTGTGAGCAAGTTTAAGTGTGTGTTATTAAGGAACGTAGCACACACGTTTCGGTAAGATTGACATACTGAAATGCCTTTAATCTCCAAATAGACAGTTAGACGGTGTGTATGTGTTTCATGCTTTTAAGCTCGCAAACTGGCAGAGTGTGTGTATATGTGTGTGTGTTTTCTCCAGGTTTGCATCTATGTTCTCTACATGTGTTCTTGCAGGAATTTTCTGTAAAGGCCTCTACATTTTCCCTTTACAGAGTTTTGACAGTAAACAAACTGAGGCCCACAGTAAGTTGAAACTGTCCAACGTGACAGAGAGAAATGCCGGGAAGTACTGGTGTCGCGCCTCAAACTTTGTAGGCAGGTCGGAAAACTCTTTCTGGCTCATGGTGCACAAACCAGGTAAATCCTGAGCTCTGAAGGACTGCCGCCTCAGCACCTTTGATGCTATGCTGTGTCTCCTCTCTGCGGGGCTCTTCTTGGTTGTGGGTTTGATAGACTTACTGGCTTGCTAATAGGACAACACACACACACACACATACACACGCACATTACCCTGCTAGGATTTGAGTGTATATGCTCACATTGTGTTAGTTAGTATCCCTTTTAACATCCAGTGGCAATTTTTCTTCTTCCCCGATCAATAAAAAACACACCTTTTGAATCACTGCTACAAAAATAAAACAGATCTACACACACTTGAGCTAACTGACACACACACATACACACACACACTATTTCCTCTGCTAGGAATTAAGTTTATATTCTCCCATTCTGTTAGTTAGTTAGTAGCTCCGATCCATTTTAACATCCAGTGCCACTTTGTCTTCCTCCCCGATCAATAACAAACACACCGTTAATTACTGCGACAAAAAGTCTCCCGCTCTCCGACCCACCACTTTTACACACACATGCATATATTAAACCCCATGTAAAAAAAAAACTCGACAACCAAACACACAGAGAGTGGTATTGATTTCACTGAGAGTGCATTCTCCAGTTGTATTAATGTGTCCTTATATGAAAGCATGCAGCAGGACTCTGATTCATGACTGGGTCTGGATGTCACTGTTCATTACTGAGGCCTTGGGAGTAAGAGACCCCCACCACCAAACCCCCTACAAAGCCACATCAGACACTGGTTTGAAACTCCCCCACTGGTCATCGCACTAACCATTAGTCAAAGGGGAAAAGCCACAACAGCAGGGACTTCATTTTAGAGTAATTTCAAGGTTATTTATAATTGACCATACTGTGTCTTTAGTGGTTGTAAGTGTTAGTCTTTTTAATACTAAACATATGTTTGTTAAGCTTAAAAATGTTTATATTATTTCTTATGTAAGTGAACAAAAATCTTGGACAAGCTATTCACGGTAGTTCATTTCAATTTAATTTTACATAAAAGCAATAGGCCCAGAGTCGATCCTTGAGGTACCCCTAGAAGAAAAGACTTAAAAGATACTAATGCATACAGCTACAAAAACATTGAAAAATAACATCTTATATTCCAAGTTTGATGTTGCCGTTACACCATTGAGCTGCCATGATTGCTGGTGAAGGGATCTGCTTTGCTTTGGTGTCAGGCAGAATTTAAGCTGGTTTGATTTGAACTCACTCGTGTTTAAGCAGCAAATAAGAGAAAACTATCAATCTCCATTGTCTGTTGCAAACGTCTTAAATAAGTATTTTTTTGATAGTGAGAGTTAAATGTACGGTTTCTTAAATAAGGGATAACATCTGGCATTGGGGTAAGAGTATCAAAAACAGTTTTCAAGATAATTCAACATGTTACAAAACCTTTTTACCCTAGTGCCAGTTTAGAAGAAGCCAGAATAAAGCAGATTGTTGTACTTGATTCAAGAAAATGAATTTTAACAACAATTCTTGGAACTAGTTAATTCAAAACTTTTCTTGCTGCAATGTCAAACATTTTCATTTTCAGATCTGAAAAGACTACTTTGATAAGAAGGAGATGTTTCGCAGTGTGACAACTTTCAGGTTGTGTGTGGATTTAGATTAAACCAGCAGGCTTTTTTCGCAGCTTGGTGACGGTGCAGCTTGGGTGTTTTTCAGGTGTTGGTGTCAGCAGAAGAAAAGCAGCACTGCCTTCAAATCCGCACTCCTGTCCTTTCCTGCAGGGTGTATTTGGTGTTTCCTCTAAGAAGCTTTGGGCTCATGATATCTCTTCTCTTTCTTCTCTCCCTCCATCTTGTTACCCCCTCTGATCCTCCACAGACGGCCGGTATTAACACTACAGATAAGGAGCTAGAGGTTCTCTTCTTGAGCAATGTGTCTTTTGAGGATGCGGGCGAGTACACTTGTCTGGCAGGGAACTCTATCGGCTATGCTTACCACTCTGCCTGGCTGACAGTGATTCCAGGTATATTCCTCTTCTCTCTGCGGGTCTTTTGTCGTCCATTTCTTCCACCTTAAATGTTTAAAAACTCCCTGAAATTGTGATTGCAACCGTACTTTTCTTTTGCTTTTCTCAATAGCACAATCGTTCATTTTGTTATGTAATTATCGTACATTAGGAAAGATTGTTACTTGTTGGCGCACTTTAAACGCACTAGAACTGTGTCATTGCCCCTTTTAATTGCATGAGCAGAACATGCAATCTAGCCTCCATTGAAAGGAGCTTTTTAATCAGAGCAGATCATCTGTTGAAATGTGTCAAGGCAACGGGGCAATTTAAAGGCGTTTTTGTTTTGTGAGGTGTTCAACACAGTAATTACCTCCCTGCAAAGAAGCATTTCACAGGTGCAATTACCTGCTGCAGAATGAAACTACAAGCTGACTCCTCTGATCTGTTTCTGTTTGATGTATAGATGTTATTCATACGAAATAAATAATGTTGTGAAGTGTGCTACTAAGCAAAGCAATATTTCTCTTCAATCAATAAGAAGTAATTTTTACTAAGCTTAGATTTGGAAAAGGGTAACAAAAGGGTAAGAAAAGTTGTTAGCATTATTCAGTGCTTGTATTTTTTCTGACATCCCATGTTTCTGACCTCCTCCTGCCAAAGCAGTTAGCGCTGAAAAGGAGGACTACTACGCAGACATCCTCATCTACGTGACGGGCTGCGTGCTCTTCATCCTCGCCTTGGTCATCGTCGTGCTTTGCCGCATGAGGATGACGACACAGAAGACGCTACCAACGCCACCCGTGCAGAAACTGTCAAAGTTCCCCCTCAAGAGACAGGTAACAGAAAGTAGATACAAGATTCGAACACACTTTCCCCCCTCTTTTTCTCTACCTGTCTGTTTAGTTTAGCTTTTAGCTTAACTTGTAATAAGTTTGCTCCAATAAGATGAAACAATGAGAAAATTAGGCCTTCTTCTCCCACAAAACATATTCCCTTAAAGATTCAAGACAGTGCAGGACCCTGTTTAACACTCACATTGCATCAGATGCTGTTTTCAGCAGTTTTCTCTTCAAACAGCAAAATCTAGATTACTTTAATAGTCAGGGAAGGAGTAACATATTTAACCCAAGGAAGCACCAGGAAATAGCTATGGAGAGTTGTGGAAATATAAAGTAATATTAGTAAGTAAGTATATCAGTGCCACTTTGAGAAACCTGCAGAAGAGTGTCTTTTTGCAACTTCTGTCTTTGAAATCTCTGTTATTCTCAAAGAAGAATTGCGTGCAGCTCAGGACTCACACAAGCTCAGAGTATAAGTCGAGAACGTTATTGTGCGTCTATCTGACTCTCGCTGTCCCGCTGGTTTGATGACGTTGTGCGGACGCTGGAAGGCATCACTCTGCTGACATGTGTTCACATTTATTTTGGAGCAGATTCAGCTCAGGGATATTTATGCCCTCGTGTGACTGTCAGTGTTAGTTTTAGATTTCACTCCTTGTAATGCACACTCGGCCCTCAACTGTTTGGCGAGAAACATAAAGTGGAGCAGCTGCATCGCCACAGACGGCAGAAGTCTTCACGGCATTGTCTCTCGGGAGTTCAGGATGAACCGCGATCAAATCCAAGTCAAATCCAAGTCCAAACAGAATTAGGCCAAGATAAATCGAGGCCTTTTCAAGACCAAAATAAGAAATAAACGAAAGTTTTGAGGATTTTAAGAAATGTCCAACAAAGGCAAAGTGCTTTTTAAAATCTGACTGGAGCTCTTTATCTGGCTCTCCACATTAATTAATGAACCTTCATCCTCATCTTCACCTCTATTCAATGCGCTTAACTCTCATCAAAGGACTTTCATCTGTGCCACTGATCGCTGTTTTATAGATTGGATTAAATATACTCAATTGATCCCGATTTGGGAAATGATTTGGTCACAGCAGCATCTAGACAAGTGTATTGCACTTGAATTGAAAATAGAAAATAAACTATCTCTACTACTAATAAACTATCAGAATATTAAAACACATATTTTATTTATAGGCCAGCCTACAACTGAGAAAATGTCAACGCTGTATACTATTTACAATATTAGTTAGCAAATTAATTACAGTTTTAAATGACATTTAAACGCATACGGTACAGTGTGAAAACATAACGTCTTCAGGCAGTGCAGTGTGACTCTTATTCTTTGGGTTCTTGTAATCTTTGTGATCCAGAAAGTCATCTATCTTGCATTTGCACTGTGGATGCACATAACGAGTTTCTCCACCCTGCTCCACCCTGCTGGAGTCTCTCAGTCACTGTGTGGTTGTTCTGTGTGAGCTCCAGCTTTCCAGCTCCATAATTGAAGGGTTGTGCTCCTCAAATGGCAAAAAGATGCATTTTTAGAAAGGAAAATAGTGCCTGAAAGTCATAACACAGTTCTTGGAAAACAAACACGGCGGTTAAAAGTCAGGATTTAGCTGGAAAGTTTAAAAATAATCCATATTTCTTATTATGCCTTCCATAACAGCAGGTTATAGTAGGTACTGTAAGACGCTCTAATTGTAACCTCTAAATCGTTCTGTTCCGTACCTTTATATACATGCTCTTATAAGGTAGTGCAGGGAAAGGCCTTATTGCATTTTTCTGTAATCTTTGCTTCGTTTTTGTAAAGCTAATCTCCCGGTTCTCTCCTTTCTTTTTCATAACTCTTGAGTAAATCTCCCATAAACCCCCTGGCATGTTCTATCAGATATTACTTTTCATGCCTCTGAAAACTGTGGTCGGGCTGTTTTTTGTATAAGCTTCACAGCATTTTTCTCATTTTACTCCGAGAAGTTTACGAAGGGGTCTGGTAAGTGGACATGTTTGTTTGAGGACCCCACCTGAAGCGGCCAAGCTGGCAGACACAAACAGATTCATCAAAAGTCCCCCCCCTCAGCAGTCAGATAAATGGTGGTGGGATGACGGGCCCGCGGCGGGCTTGGCAGCAGTTTGGAAATGGATCTGGCTGATGGATGGAGACGTCCACGCCACCTCACGCTCGCCCACCTCTGCTCCCTCCTTCATTCGTCTTTGTTTCCGTCTGCTTCCTCCTGCACTGCCACGGGCCGGCTGTTTGTAAAAGTCACCGCCAGTGTCAGAGGCTGTTTCTCAGAAAAACTCAGAGCTGCCGAATGAGCTCTGACTTTGGTCCTGAGATACGGGACGTTTGCAGTCTGTCATTACCGGAAAATCATTCCATCTTAAAGTTACTCAATCATTAATGCAGTTTTTAAATGTGATTACTGTACTTGTTGAAGTTTAAATGGAGGTTAACTCTGGCCCGTTTTACATTCAAAAACGTTAATATTTTACTATTTAACATTTTTTGTTTTAGTTATTATTTCAATTTCTGGGTTATTGGCCCCTTATAAAACCAATAAGACTTAAAAAAGGGGAAAATGCACCGGCAATGGCATTAGATTAACTTTAAAATAAGTATTTTTCATATACTTGTATTGAATAAGGTAATTTTGGCATATTTATACGAAAACTGAGAATTGTGTTATATTTTGTGATCCAAAGACTTGATCCACTGAAATATTACCCATATTGATAAATATATTTTTTATTTTACCTCATTAAAACTACTATCCAGTTTAAAATTTGATGCTAACTTAAACGTTCATATCAAGGTTATTATACTTTAATAATAAAATATTCAGTTTTTGCTCAGAGGTCATGTAAGGCTTCCTCTTTCCCCTCTGTCTGTGTGTTTTAACACACATCATCTCGTCCTGTTCAGAGTCTATAACAGTCTGTCTTTTGCACCCAAGCAGGTGTCCTTGGATTCTAACTCCTCCATGAACTCCAACACCCCGCTGGTGCGGATCGCCCGCCTCTCCTCCAGCGACGGACCGATGCTGGCCAACGTCTCGGAGCTGGAGCTGCCCTCCGACCCCAAATGGGAGTTTCCTCGCACGCGGTAAGAAAAATGCTTCCACGGATCTACATTCATCACTGTTGTTTAGACGCCTGTCAGAAAGAAAGAAACACGGTGCATGCGTTGTGGCTTTTTTCACGCTGCCAAGCCACATATTTCACAGCTAACAGACACTGTGGAGTTGTCCTTGAAACATCATGCACTGTGAAAACATCTGAGCCGCATTTCATCAAGGTCAACACGACACCTTCCTCCTCGCTTATCCAGAAATAAACAAAAGATATGAGAAAACCCTCCACACTGCCAGCAGCAGAAATCAAAGCTCTAAGACTGTCTTTCTTGTGTTTCAGGTTGACTCTGGGCAAACCTCTGGGCGAGGGATGCTTCGGGCAGGTGGTGATGGCCGAGGCGATCGGCATCGACAAAGAGAAGCCCAACAAGCCGCTGGATGTTGCTGTGAAGATGCTGAAAGGTTAGTTAGTGAACCTCTCTGTTTTGATCTCTGTACACATATGAATTTGCTTTGTCTGGTCTCATGCTTCCCTTATTCTCAAACTTAAGTCTGCTTAAGGGATAATGTGCAGTTTCATTAATGACCGCATCGCTGCAAATTATCCTACTTATTACACGGTTAAATATTAAATTAACCATTGACTTGACTCACAATATTGATTTTAAAAATAATTGTATTGATATAAAATAATTGTAAAAGCAACATAACTTAAAATGGCGGCAGCACTGATTGAGGTTTTCTGTAACTGTCCAAATCTGTTCAAGTTTGCCTTTCCATTCACCAGTCTCTAAACACTGTCAGAGCCCATACTGTGTTCTTGTTAGTGTTTACTTCCTGTCTTCTTCTGTTGATTTCTGCGCTCCTTTTCTTTGCTTTACTGGAAAAAACAATGAATGAACCGATGACAACAATGAATGACTTATTATCCTTTGTCCCTGTGGATAAAGTGCCTCATCATGGGTTCTTTATTCCTTTTCTGTTTTCCTCAGATGACGCCACGGATAAAGACTTGTCAGACCTGGTGTCGGAGATGGAGATGATGAAGATGATTGGAAAACACAAAAACATTATCAACCTGCTGGGAGCGTGCACACAGGACGGTGAGACCACAGTGCATTACAGAGGAGATAACTAACACAATATATGAAGTGTTGTGCTGAAAGTGACCCTGTGCTCTGTGTTGCGTTCAGGGCCTCTTTACGTCCTGGTGGAGTACGCCTCTAAGGGCAACCTGAGGGAGTACCTGCGGGCGAGGCGGCCGCCGGGCATGGACTACTCCTTCGACACCTGTAAGATCCCCGACGAGCAGCTCACCTTCAAAGACCTCGTGTCCTGCGCCTACCAGGTGGCCCGAGGCATGGAGTACCTCGCCTCGCAGAAGGTCAGCCGCCATGACGCTGTGTTTTCTAATGCTGATAGACAAATGCTGTTTCAGTGAGCTGAGTATCTGTGCCTGGAGGAATGCTAATCCTAAAAAAATACAGAAATTAGAAAGTTTTTTTGGTATCAATCAAAAAAACAATGTATATCTTACACTGCACTGTAACTTTTATATTTATTTTATACCTGTCTTAATCTATTTTAGCTTGTTATAAATTATTTGTTGTATGGTGTTAAATAAGAATGAGTAACAGGTATGGTTAGGGTTAGCCAAAAATGAGGTTTAGGGTTAGCTAAAATGAGAGGAAACATTTCTGAATCATAATGATTTAAACACTTTGAAGGTCGTAACCACGGTTAGGAATTTTTTGTATTAAAGTTCAGAGTTTCAAACATAAAAAATCTGTTACAGGAGATGCTTTAAAAAGAGACAAAATGTCACAGTTTAAAGTTTCAAGGTTGTTGGTTAGGATGCTGTTTGAGTTGTCAGACAATGGTACAATTGTAGGAGAATGTGTGTGTGTCTGCGTCTGTGCAATTTGTTGTGTGGCCGTGTGTTTGATGCGTTTCTTCTTCTTCCCTCAGTGTATCCACAGAGACTTGGCCGCCAGAAACGTGCTTGTGACAGAGGACAACATTATGAAGATCGCCGACTTCGGTCTCGCCAGAGATGTGCACAATATAGACTACTACAAAAAGACCACGAACGTGAGTGTCATTCTTGAATGCCTCTTTGTCAGAAAGAAAATAGAAATTGCTAATTATTTTAAGCTTTACCTTGCACAAAGAGAAGGGATTGTGAGATCAAGGATATTTTGCCTCGCAATAAATATTCTACAGCTCTTACAATAAATAGTTTGTTTGATTTAATATTATTATGTTATAGAAAATGGATTGTCTATCAGAACTTCAACAACTTTAACAACCTTTTAGAGGAATTTATTCTCAATAAAAGGAAAATAAACTAACTTTTTATATATAAATTAGATTTCCAAGCAGGTAGAGGCCACAAGAGTTCAGTTTACCAAGCTGGATGCGTCCAAAGAGTTATACAAAAACACCTGTAGTCTAAAAACGTTTAACCTTGTAAATGAATGTGGTTTATAAGACAGGCGAGCCGAAGTTCAAGGTGTCACGGCAGGACGGAGCCGACCTCTGTGATTTTGGGTCCATATTTTTGGGTCTGCTCTGTACAGAACGGTTCTGCTGACCGAGCGGTTCTGTTGTGCCTCTGTTGTTGCAGGGTCGTCTCCCCGTGAAATGGATGGCTCCGGAGGCTCTGTTCGACCGGGTCTACACGCACCAGAGCGATGTGTGAGTTTGCACAAACCAGCCGTCACATGCCTCCAGCCCACTCATGTGGAGCTGCTGTACACTGAAGGAATCCGGGTGTTGAAATATCGTGACTGAGCACGTTAGCATCAAAAGTCTGAGTTTGTGCGTGTGAATATGGAACAATAGCGTTCCCTTACCAAATATCTGCTGCTCGCTGTCATCTGCACTCACTTGATAATCCTGAGCTTCTTGTGGCTCCGCATTCCTCGCTGCGTTTGTTCTCTAATCTCCCACTGGACATCAGAGGGAGACAGAAACACAACAGAGCCTTCGACAACTTACTGTTGTTTTGTCAGCGCAAATCCAGAGAACAGAGGCAGATAAGAGGGTCAATGGATTTATCACGTTTTATACGAGTAAATCCAATCCGCCCAAAACAGAAGGAGATAAGAAAGTCAGTGGATGTATCACAAGGTGTTCCCTCAGGGTGTTTTTCCGCAGCAGTTCAAAGGTAGACAAACTCACCTTTTACAACCTCTGATTGCTCCTGCCAGGAGAATAAAGGCTCGATTAGGAGAAGAGGTCACAAAGTCAATCTGTGTTGCAGTAGCCGAACCCCCCCAGCTAAAACGCTCCTCGCCAGACGCTGTGTCCCCAGCACAGCCATCCAAGCCAAACACGGGCCCCTGTCAACACGGGCTCGCTGTGTGATTATACTAGACTGGGAACAAGCCGAGAGGAGAGTCCGCCCGCTCTGTTGTTTCAGCAGGTCTGCATTACAGTCAGTCCTGCCGCCAAACCTCCTCCTCCCTTTATACAGTAGTCACTCCGCAGCCAGTTTACTCTCACACACCCCGGGGGACCCTGACTTCTGACCTGTGATCGTTTCTACTGAAATATGTTACTCTGAAGCAGACGGCAGACAATTAAAACACATTTCAACTTAAATCTGTCACACAATCACAACAATAAGGTTTGTGTACTGCAGCTCTCAGGGCACAATTGGCATCACAGCTCATGCAGCTTTCCAAGCATTGACGGCTCTAAAGGCAGAACTTGCTGTAGGAACTCTCAGGGAGCCATTTATTTGGGGATTTTTACTGTCGTTTTACACTTTATTTGTGCAAAGCAACTGTGCATCCAAAAGTTATGTGCGTCATGCCATTATGATTCCAATCGAGACACAATTTAGACTCGAGTTCACTTTAAAAATGTAGATACCACGGTTATAAAGTGCTACTATGTTCATATATGACCCTAATGTAGATTTCCTATACAAATAATCTTACAAAGTTATGTTTTCCTTCATTTTCAGTCTATTGCTGCCAATGAATAATTGAAGTGTTTACATCTTGATTGCCTGTTACTATTAGCCGCCTGATAGCTGATGAAAATTCATTTGTTGACGACTAGCAGTGAACATAAACTGATTCCTGTGGTCGCCTCTGAAACGGTCCTGAACCTAAACTGACCCTCAAGATGTCATTTGTTCACGTCGAGTTCAGTTGTATCGGCGGTTATTCTTAACTCCCAACTCTTTCCTCAGTCCCCTTTATTACCTCTGAATATTGATGTCTCTCTTTCACTCTCGCTGTTTGGATGGAGGTCTAGCGAGCCCTCTGGACCGGAGCGTGGAAAATTAGATTAAGTCCGCTGGGCTCCTGGAGGAGGGGTCTGATTCTGAGTCAGAGGACTAACGGGCGAACAATAGTACACTGGGTTAATAGACCCCCGTTATCTGATTAGGAATAATGCAGCAGTTCACTGGAGCTGCTGCCACAAAGACAGAATGAAAGAGAGAGGAGGGCTCGGGTTAGAGGTGCACGATAGCAGCTGGACTCTAACTGTAGATACAGCAGAATAAGTTCCTCTATTCATGCTTTGTGCTCAATTTAGGTCACTGTTTGTAGGTGTTTTTGGAAACACTATGCTCCTCAAGATGCATTATGTTCCCAAAGACTTTTTCCAATTTTTTTTAAACTGAGCTTTTAAAACCAAATAAAGATTAAATCTCTTTTTCTTAGGAGTGCACTATCCTTTTGAGCAAGCATGACCAATTAAGGTACTCAAAAATGGATGATAGCCACGTTTTTGAGACTCAGTGGATTTAATTAAAAACAAGGAGATATGTATGTATGTGTTTTTCACATTACGCTGCAGCTCAGTTTCAAAGGATGCTGACAGTGATGCTTTTATTAAACTGATGAAACACCAGCAAGATACATAAAAGCAAATATACTGCTGGTATACTATGAGCTTTTTTCATTTGGTATACAGTTGTAGATGTGTATTATTTGTATACATTTGTGCAGATTAGCCCTTAAAGAATAAAGATGGCAATATTTGATAGCCTTATATATCTTCTTAGACTGTTCCATAGAGCTCCATTGTTTTCCAAAAAGTATTGATAACATATTAGCACTGGGTCACGTATGTTATAACTCACTTTATTTCTGCCTCAATCCCATAATTACCACGTCCTTCTGCACACAATACTCACACGTTCTGAAAATAGTCTCCAACAATATTTTAATTAATAGTTTGTAATGAAAAATAGAGTAATTAGCAAATTGAGTAAGTCATCTCACCTCTGTATCTATTAAAAAAAAAAGGAAAATCTCTATTCTAATTCTTCACAATGATTTTGACTTCTCCTTTGTTTTGAAGGACGAGTTTCTACAAATATTGTATATTGAGTGCCGGAGACAATAGGAATGTCAATTTCAATCTTAAATTGAGTGCAGTAAACATTATTGAGAATCAATATTTTCCCCCAAACCAGATTCATCTGTTTATCTGGGGAACACACCTCCTGACTGCTTCAGGGCATGAGTGCAGTTTGACCTCTAAATCTGTATTCATCGTGTGTGTGTGTGTGTGTGTGTGTGTGTTCAGGTGGTCCTATGGGGTGTTGTTGTGGGAGATCTTCACTTTGGGAGGCTCGCCGTACCCCGGTATCCCAGTAGAAGAACTGTTTAAGCTGCTGAAGGAGGGACATCGCATGGACAAACCTGCCAACTGCACGCATGAACTGTAAGTGTTTTTCTGAATTATAGTCAGTTATAGGAAGAAATGTAGCAGGAGGCGGCTTAGTGCAGATAAACCTGACCTGTAAATACCTCAGTGCATTCACGTTAGGAGATTGTATGCATTCTGTACTCATTTATTGTTGTTTACTAGCAACAACTTACCTTCAAAATGTGCAAAAACGATTAGTAAATTTGAATTACCCATGAATTTGAGGTTGGAGTCATTAAAATGTTAAATTAAATCTGATTTAAAATACTTAAGCATAGCTATTCATTACATTTTCTTTTAAGTACTTTGAGATCCATCGATCACCATACATCAGCAGCTCATTTTGGTTTCTCCTTATTTCTGTGGCTATCGTAAGATGTCTTATATTACTGTAAACTGCGGTGTCGTCTTGCAGCTGGAGAAAATGAAAAATAGTGAAAACCAAAAAATGATGAGCCTTTACTTTGCTTCAACCGTAATTACAGAGCATCAGCCTCCAGCTGCAGATCAAGTAGACCTATACGCTGGAAGCTGTCCATCTGAGATCAGCCTGTTGTAGATTCATATTTTGTATTTAATGGACGCGTTGCAGAGAAACTGAAGCTTGATATTGGTTGTTTCAGGTACATGATCATGAGGGAGTGCTGGCACGCGGTGCCGTCGCAGAGACCGACCTTCAGACAGCTGGTAGAAGATCACGACCGGGTTTTATCCATGACCTCCACCGACGTAAGTCTCTCTGCACAGCGGCTGCTCGCTCACAACAGGAAGGACACACAATGTACCTGTAGTTTCACCTTGGACCATTGTAACTTTTTCATAAAGCCTCACCTAGCTTCAAACACATTTCTTAGCACGTTATATCATTTAAAGTCATAGGTTGGTTAATGCAACTTTATTTACTGCAGTTTGACATATTTCTCAGTTGTATGACTGGAGTTCAATCAATGGAATTAAGTCCAAATGTTATTTCAGGAGTTAAAGGATTAGTAAATTGTAGAACAGCCATATATTCTGGACATGTGGAAAAGTTTTAGCCCTATAAAAACATGTTTTAAGATCCAAACAAACACTTATTTGGCTTTGATAGCTACAATTTGACCCAAAGAAGCAAATGTAGTTAATGTGATGGGTTCGGGTTAGGGTTAGCTATTTGCCTAATATCGTATTTGATTGAACTAATTTATTGCGCCAATTTCAACATGAATGTTTTTTTAAATATTTTTGAAAAACTGCAAAGAAAGGGATTTTGATAGATGAAGACTTCAACATGTTTTAAACACATGTTCAGCATTTAGAAATTGACCAATCAACACAGGGATGCAGGAATTAAACTTGGACTTTTATGTAGCTGTGTCTTTAAAACGGGAGGTTTTTTTGTTTAACAGTATTGTGTTATTTAAACAAGTCAGGGTTAGAAAACAACACATACTGTAGAACAACACTGACAATGTCAAATAAATATGCAACTTAGTATAGAAAGAAACACATGGAAATACAATCATAAAGCAGTGGTTAGAGTTTAGTATCATGCTCTGTTGAACCCACTAACATGCTAAAGAATACAGGTGATAATACAGAAATATGATATAATTCCTCGCTTATTTATGTGACCACAGAGAGGATTGACGGTCTAACCTCTGCCCTCTCCTCTGACAGGAGTACCTGGACCTGGCGGTGCCCTTCGAGCAGTACTCGCCCACCTGCCAGGACTCAAACAGCACCTGCTCCTCGGGAGACGACTCGGTGTTCGCCCACGAAGCGCTGCCTGAAGAGCCCTGTCTTCCTAAACAGCTCCCCAGCAACGGGGTGATAAGGACATAAAATCTGAGCTTGGGGAGGGGGTTGGACTTTAACCTCCTCTCAGAGTTTGCGATTAACCTCTCAGTGACTCCTCAAGATTTGGAAACTCAGCATGCAATACTTCGATTCGTCTTAAACTCTTAAATCTTCTTTGACTGAGTTGTCCTCCTCCTCCTCCCTAACAGACTCTTGGAAACATTGAAGGATTATTTTTTGAACCATGTTCTGAAATTATATTTTTGTACTCGGGCCAGTCTTTTCTTACGGACAATCTGTTGGGTGAAACCATTCCGTGCCTACTGGGATAAATAGACCTCCTGAGATTGATTTTTGAAAATGGATATAAGAGGAGGAAGTGAAGGGCATTGGTCAGTGACTGCTTTGCGATCCAGTAGGCGAGGACCTCAGATTTGTATCCCCTCGTCTGCGCGGAGCCCTCAAATCTTGATAAAGGTTTGGGAACCCGTTGACAAGAAACCAGCAAAGCCAGAATCAACTCCATGATGGGACTCTTTCTTCCCAAGACACTTTTCTATTACAGAGCATATAACGTGTTTTTCTCATCAATCTGTACAACCTTTTAGCATCCCGACAAAAAAAAAAGGTTTTGTGATAATCATGAAACAAATTCCTCATCAAGCGTGAGGCGAAGTTTCAGGGCCATTCAGTAATTAGTCAAATGAGGTTTGGAGTTTGTTTTTTATGTATGTAGAAAAATGATTTATTGTAAATATATAAATGCAAATATGTATCATATTGCTGTTTACAGCCATGTACTTAAAAGACAAAAAATTACATTTTCTTAAAGTATTGTTTTTAGGAAGCAATCTAGAAGACACTGTCATGAAAGTGTAAAACATTTAATCATTTAAAGTGATACAGAAAAGGTTTATTTGAATAATTAACGTGTATATTTGTAAAGATATTTATAGACTTAACATGTGGTTTCTTAAGTTGGAAAAGTCTAGTTTAGGATTTTAGTACTGTACGCAAAGATTTTATTTCTTTTTTTTTTGTAACTTATTTTACAACAGAACTGCAACGTTTTTTCACAGACTCCTCTGGTTTTAGATCCATCTTTGTTATTATTTTTCTGGGCAGTTTTTGAAAAGAAAATAAGAATGTATACGAGAAGGGAAGATGGTTATTTGGAGGGAGAGTGATTCGACCGCCAGAGGAGGACTGGGGAACTGAAGGCTCCCGCTGAAGGGCAGCCGGACGTTTCCGCTGAGTTCAGATTCTGATTTGAAAAGTTGACGTTTGCAATATCAAGCAACGATTAGCTCTTGCTGGGCAAGAAATGGCAGCGCTTCAAGATATGTACAGAGAGGCCTTTTAGTACGAATCAAGTACTTTAAGACATTTCGAACACCCACAACAATTTGCTGTGAAACATAAAGAGCCTTCAGAGAACCTCAGCCGCCTTTTAAAGGAAAAATCCTTCGACTAATGTTTCATTTCATTGTAATTTCATTACATTTGAGAATAGACACAACTTTAGTTATAACTGCATTTCCCAGAATGATTTTTAGCCGTTAGTCAAGAAAATGTTTGAACCTGTGGCGTTGAGAGCAATTTGAAAACATGCAAGTTTTACCCACATTTTTGTAAGAGCCACCAACTACAAAGAAAATGTAACATGACATGGCTCTCCCCAAACCTAATCTGCATTATTGTGCAATGCATTCTGGGATTTTGAGTCCAGTCAGTGGCGCAAACCGTGATCTGTTTCTTTTTAAGAATCACACATAATTGATGATTATCGCTCCTTCTGAGCCTCAACACCACATTCTGACATTGACCTTTAACACACAAGAATACATTATATGACAAAAAGGACCCAGGACTGCACCTTCACAATTATCTTTTACAGAGTTAAAGCATTTATAGATGGATATTTTCTTTTAAAGGTAGCTCTGAAGGCTTCAAACTCTTTTATTCTAACGGAAAGGTCACAGGGTGGATTCTAACAAGCTGCATGCGGTGTCAAGGTGCCCTTGAGCAAGACACTTGTGGATTAAAATATCAGTTTGACGGCAGAAGTGTGAAGCTGTTATGTCCGTTTGTTCGAGAGAAAAAAAACCTGCCCATACGCTTGAGATTTTATCGCTGCTCTATAGTATTAATACTGAAATGAAGGCATGCTGTGCGACTTACGAGTCAAACAGCAAAATATATATATTATATAAACAGTATATATATCAGTTTGTTTACCCTGAAGTATGTGGTGGATCCTGAGCTTAGTTTGCAAAAGTGCCAAATTAGTCTTAAAAGCCTATTTCTCCGAGTTCATCAGATCTCTGAACCGAACGCTGCACTGTGGAATGTAGGCGGGCGGAGGTTACATGTGCAGGGAAGGATCATGGGATTGCCAAATGGATATCTCCCCTTCTTTTTATGCAGTCGTTTCTCCAGCTGACCCTAAGAAAAGTGAAAGGGTTGAAACGTTTACAGAGTCTGAATTTAGTCACAAAAGGGAAAGCGACGTTTGGAAAAGCAGACATTTGAAGGGTTCAGAAACACGATTCACTCGCTGCTAAATGGAAACGGTGGTAACACTTTACTGTGCAATGGCCTTATTCTAGTGTGTGAACTGAATTTTTGCAGAGACATTTATTGTAATTACCCAACAAGACTGTCAAAACTTAATGAAATCCCCACCCATGTTTAAAGTACTTAAAAATCTGTATTTATTTCTATTCCTACACTGGGAGATTTTTAATTTTTAGCACCAATTTATGTGATTTTTCATTGGTTTATGCACAAAAACAAGGCCTTTGTGAAGTGAAAGGTTACACCCAGTTATTGTTATTTCTGTCTTGAGTGCAGTTTTGGCCCAAATCTATGAAGTGCCTGGAATAATTTAGCGAACAAAAAGGAGATTAATTGATTTATTTTGACCATGTTTTGATTGTATAATTTGCAATATATAAAAAAAGATAAAAGAAGCAGTTCTCTCTAGAAGTATGTAAGTATTAGCCTTTGAAAGACAAAAAGGCACTTGTGTAAAGGTTGGATGGATCTAATGAAACGCTGTTTTGTTTTATTTATTCTTCCATGCTGGGTAAAAGCTTTCCCTATGGTGAAAGTATTTTTTATTCATAGCTTGTCAGTGTTTTTTCATTAAAGAGCCAGAACATGATGATGAGAGTAGTCTTTGTATCAGATACTGATGCCCCCCCCCCCATCAGGCTTTGCTCCTGTCTTCATCTATCCTTTAATTTAATTTTTATTTGGATGCCTTCCTTTGCCTTTCTTTTTCATTCTATCAAGCTTTCTTTGACTCTGATACTGACAGCCTCTGTCTCATGTTCTTCATTTTTAAAAGGATGTGTTGTTTTTAACATGTGTGTTGTTAATGGCAGCAAAAGTAAAGCACTGTATTTTTCAAAATGCAATATATTCTATCTTTTATAATAGACAAAATCGCAGCCAAGACCTGAAATTATGGACTTTCCTCGAGGTAATTCTAAGCAATTTTCAAACAAATGAAATTGTATCTTAAGCATTTAAAGGATGTCCTGGCTTATGGATTGTTGCCATCTTATTCAAATCACAAATCTCCAAAGTGGCAGCTTTTTACTAAGGAAGTAGGAAATACAGTTGAATATGAAGCGTAGGTTTTCCCGCATGTCAGACTCATACATTTACATAAATCTGCTTAGAAAACCTGATAAAAGACGTCCCTCATGTCTCCAAAAGAATTGGCTTGTTTTTAAGTTTAATTAAGTAACAAAGTAATACTATTCTAACGTACATCCATGGCGACATGACAAACTAGAACTGAGCTAATTCGGCATACTTTTAATAGGGCCAATTTGCCAAAATGTAAAGAAATATGAAATAAAAATCTCCAAGCGTCCGATGGCTTTCCCATGGCAACTATTCCCAACTGTTGCTAACGATTGAAAGCCAGTGTTGCTAAGATACGGGCAATCAATTCCAATCGGAAGCTTTCTAACATTAGCACTGATTCACACTAGGTATTCGTTTTGATATACGATATTTCAACACCGAAATCGGACAGAAAAAAACACAGGATACAGTTGTGTTCTAGAAAATGAAATATGTTAAGCTATATATAAACATTTCCTTTGAGTTAAGTTGATGCTTAACCAATTTCTAAAACAGAAAATGTGGAGGTTTCATTTTTGAGTCTGGTGCAAACATGTCAGTATTGTGTTGCCCAACAGACAGATGTTAAAAACAACACATTTATTTTATGAGTGAACATGTTTTCTTTGCTATTGAATGATTAAACAGCATGGCCTCAGCAGGGAGCGACTCTTACTGTATGTACAGTCACACATCGGCCTTCACCCACCTGTTGTCTCTACTCTGACTGATTTATTTATTCTCTTTCTGCTCAACAAAAGAAAAAAATCAGGATTGAAAATGAAATTGGGAGGAGAGGGCTGTTATCTCGGCTTCGTTTGGTGTCACAGATATACACCTTTCCTTCCAGGGATATCGAAACTATTCATATTTCACATGTTTTTATTGATTTGATTTGGTTTCACACGGTTTTTCATCCCATTTTCATTTTGTCATGCCGTTCTAACCCAACAATGTTAGTGCAGATTAATTTATAGTTTGAAATATGCTTTTACGTTGCTGATTTAGAGTTTTATGTAGCTATTTTGAAAGAACTATAGAGAGGAAATGATTTTCATATACATTTATTTCATTTTGCAATCCACATCAGGTTTTGTCCTTTTTGTCCTTTGATTCTTTTTTTCCCCCAACCCCACATAATTATGTTTCGTCCCTCTGAACTCATGTTTCTAACATAGAAAGGTGAAACTAACCATTTGGCATTATGTGAGTCTTGTTGTTGTTGTAATTCATAGCTTCATGCTTGTTTGTTGCAATGTACCTGTTTTGATCATGATGAATGCTCTGTAACATTCCACCACAACAAACCCTCTGGGCAAACATCTCCCACTGAGGGGAAAAACTACAATTTCACAACTCTCTCTCTCAGTCTCTCTATCTCTCTCTGTGCCTGACAAACTATGCTGTCACAAAGGTTTTCAATAAACATGTTATAATAGCGTTTGCTGTCATTGCTCTGTCTATCACTGAGATGCATGCATTTGGAAAAACAAACAGACCCTGTGACAGAAAAAAGTCCAACAAAAACCCAAACACTTTGGTGAAGAAATCTGAAGTTTTTGGAAGTTTATGTAAATGAAATGAAACCAAAATACCACAGAATACACACAACAGTGAGTTTATTTTGCAAAAGTGTCTCAGTTTGTTTTGTCTGAACTATTTGTCAGCGCGGTCGTGGAGTTGGCAGTTTGTTTTCCTTCTACACAAACTAACTGTGGGTGAAACTGAATACAAACAAGCTTTGGACATGGATGGCACACATGGTAACTACGTGCTTGCTGTAATGTGAGACTGCTCTTAGACATTGCACTGCTTGGAGCTAAATGCAAACATGCTAATGTTTAGGGAATGTTTAGGGAATTTTCTGCCATGACTTCACAGTAAATAATGGAGATAGGTCCGCATATTCCTAGCCTCATTAATCAGATCGTATGCTCTCTACTCTTCAAACACATGCATCTGCGTCATAAACCTTACTGAACTTTCTGAAAACTTTTTTGTTTGCGCAGGTGTTCCATTTGTTTGTAAAAATGGTTTCAATAAAGGGTTACTCATTGATCATTTTGGGAGTGAAGTATTCGTTTAGTTAGGAAAAAAACGTTTCCTAATTAGCATTTAACACAAGGTACAACTGAAGCTGGTCGGAGGGTTTTTCGCAGATATTAATTTAATCCAAAGCTAAAGTCTTGGACAAATAACAATTTTTCCTGAGGTAGTTCTGACTAGAAGTCGTGAACCAAATGTCCTCAATGTCAACCTCATGGTGATGATATAGTTCATGTCAAGGGATCCCCAAAGATGCTAGGAATCATCATCTGGGGACCGAATTGTCACAGGACTCCAACCAATAGTTTTTGAGATATTTTGAGTGTGGTATAAAGTTGTGGACGGACCATCCCCAGAGCCATGCAACTAGTATGACTAAAAATAACCTTGGCTCAAAGGTCAATTTAGTAGTAGAACATTCAACCGTATCTTTCTCTGGCCGTGCATGTAAACAAAAGGAAGCCACATTAAGGCTTTATTTCCTGTATAAAGACTTTAACTTGCTGCTGAAAGTTGTCTCTACCTGAACCACGACTGGGCTCAAGGCAACCAGAAAGAACTCCAGAAAAACACTTCCTCTGATCTGCCAAGTAACTTCTTTTAAGTCAAGCATTTTCTTAACTCAGTAGTCTCATGTGGGTGTGTTAGATGAAAGTCACTTCAAACCAAGTTTTTTTTTGTATCAATCTCTTGGCATTTACTTGGGTTATCTACTGGTTCTCCGTTTCACACACACCTGCCTGCGAATGGCTCATCACTTCCCTCAGCTCTCCCTCTTGCTCATCAGTTCTTCAGTATTTCAACTCTGCTCTTAAACCACTCATCTCCTGTTCATCCAGATCCAATGGTAGAGATACATGCGTTAAGGCCACTTCTGGAGCCTTTTCCTTGATGAGTGTATCTTTGCTGTGCTTTTGTCAGCCTCTCAATGGATCTCCACCTGCCTTGAAGCAGGTCAACACTTATTACCTGTATCCCACCAACAACCCTCCTTTCTTAATCCCTCCGCTCTCCACTGCCCATCCAACACCATCATTATCCCCACCGGCAATACCTCCAGGACATCATTACCCAATCTCCACTGTCCAAAAAGATTACAGGTAATCCCGGTCTCTTTTAAACCTCACGCCCTGTGTTCTGTTTCTGTGTCATTTTACCGGTGACAACAGTATACAGATGTATACAAAGAACCAGTACTGAAGGGCCATCTATTCTACATGCTAACTTCGTGGTTTAACACTATTGCTGCTGATTTTAACACGTCGTCTGACAACAATCTGATTTCGTCAGCTGATCATTTCTGACTACTTGTGCATGTTTCTTATGTAGTAGCTCATTTCGACATAGCAATGTGAGTAAAATATGAAAATATATTTCAACTGAAAAGAATTATGCAATTACATGATGACATGCATAAAAGATGCATTGAGGTAAAACCTGAATTGGATTTAGATATAGGTATAGGAGCTATAATTCTAAATAGAGGCAGTATTCTCCTTTAAATTGCAGCAGGAAATGCAGGCGGCACAGATTTCTGCCCCCACTTCCTGTTGATTCTGTCCCACAGTGAACAAATTAGCCTCTCATAGCGTCTTAACTGCTCTTTAATCACGGAAAGTCTTTGCCCCTCCGTCTTTGTTTGTTGAGTACAGTTCCACGCCCTCCCTCGCCGCCTCGCTGGCTGCGGCTCAGTAAACGGCTGGTGGGAGGGGAAGGAACAGGCTGCGGGGAGGGGGTATTTGTGGGGGTACTGAAGCCACTCGGCCCCGGGTGGGAGGGCAAAGCTGGACAGTGACAGAGGGAGAGAGAGGGGTCTATGTATTCAGGCTTTTGGCCCTCAGCCCGTCTCAAGTGCGTCCTGAGGGGAACATCCTGCCCCTCGTTGGAACTTCCTCGGCCGGCTGAAGTGGTCCATTCATGGAGGTCTTGTGAGGGGGGCTTGTTTTCCCTGCTAAATGGATGTTTCTGTTTCAGAGGTGTTTGCGCTGGTGGACGCTTTCCATTCCTCCTCCCTCCTCCTCCTTCTCCTCTCTCCTTCCCATTCCCCCTTTTCCTCCTTCTCTTTTCCCCCAATTCTTCCTCCCCACTCCCCTCTCTGCTTACCATTGGCTGCCGGGCATCAAACTCCCTCTTTAGGCTGCTGTTCAACCTTAAAACCACCTCGAGCTGACCAGAGGAGGAGGAGCTGGAGAGGAGGAGGTGTGGCTCCACAGTAACTATAAATTGATATGTTAGTGATCCATCAAGTTTGGGGGGTACTTTCTTCTTGCTGTGTCCTGTCAATTTCTTCAAGAAATGACAACACAGGCTGCTTATTCTCTCTAAATCATTTTATTTTTAAAACTCTCCACAGCAAAGGGCTGCATTTTTTTGTTCCCTTTCACCAATGAAAGCAATGCAAATGTTCAATGATGAGAAAACAAACAGAAAAAACTTGTAGCAAGCCAAACCTCTGCAAATATGCGTCCTTCAAACATTGCTGAGAACATAAAACCATTTGCAGGTCTTGTTAATGTGTCATATTAAGAGGATATAAAGCTGGGTAATATAGGACCCTTGGAACAGAAACACTGGCCGTCCGTCACCTAAGATCTGCATCAAAGTTGTATTGGTCCATCATCAGTCTCCTCTTTGTGGGCAGTACTCTGGTTCTCTGTAACAAGTATTATGTACTTACTGTCTTCCCAATGATAGGAACGTAGCGTTGTGAAAGTTGCTAAGTACACTGTGCTGCTGAACTGAAGAGGAAATGGGAAACGGAGGAGCAGAAACTGTCCCAGAGTCCAGGAGGAGAGATTTCTGGAAGATTCTCATGCCTCCTGACAGGCCGAGCTGAGGGGCCTCACTCGCTGAAAAGCTCAGCCATTTTTATCGCCGTCTGGCTTCATGTGCTGCCAAAAAGCACTTTAATTGTTTCCCATTCAGTCAAAGCCACAAAGCTGCAAGAGTTCCAGTATATACAAACTATTACCCCCTTCTTTTTTTTTGCAGACAACTGAAAATAATTGCAAGTTTCAGCCTGGCTTTGAAAACGCAGCTTTATGTGTTTTGCACAGTTTTAAGTTATTTTGGTGAGGCAACATTCAGTGGAAAATCAAATATGGCTGCTGGACTGCTTGTCTCATCATGAAGTGTGTGTGTGTGTGTGTGTGCGTGTGTGTGTGTGTGTGTGTGTGTGTGTGTGTGTGTGTGTGTGTGTGTGTGTGTGTGTGTGTGTGTGTGTGTGTGTGTGTGTGTGTGTGTGTGTGTGTGTGTGTGTGTGTGTGTGTGTGTGTGTGTGTGTGTGTGTGTGTGTGTGTGTGTGTGTGTGTGTGTGTGTTCCTGAAACTGGACCTTGGTATGTTGTGACTGTAAGTGTGCCAAATCAGCGATTAACTGCGCTCCCTCTGAGACAGGCGTGTAGCCGAGTGACGTTCAGCAACAGGTGTGTGTAAAACAATCCGGTTTTCAGCACTCCTTGGAGAGCCCAAGTCCCAATGAGCAGCAGGAATAGACCTGATGATAGTTTAGGGACCAACATAGGTTTGTTTGCTGCTTAGGTTGTGGATGCCCCTCTGACAGCGGGGGTCTTCTCGGGTGTTTGTCAGAGGAGCAACCGTTGGTTTTCGATTATATTCTTGATCAATCATTTTCTTTCTTAAAAACAAAACAAAAAAATATTACTATGTTGTGTTTTGCAAATAAATGAAGTTCAGTTAAAGTTTTATTTAAATTAGGATTAGCCCTCTACAGAACATAATAACATAATGAGGACAATAACAAAAGAAAACAAAGGAAAAAATACTGCATCGACAGGAAGTCCATTTATGGAGTAAAGAGTCCCGCCCATGGTGTTTGATTGACAGGTGGTACTTTCACTATGAGGGTTATTATCAGCTCAATGGAGACAAAATGCTAAGTAGAAATAATTAACTTAAAAAGTAGATCTATGTCTCTTAGCCTTGTCTTTTGGTAACAATGTAGAAAGATGGATAATGTATGCTAAACTACAAAATTGTCATTATAATCCACATCTTTCGCTTTGTGTTAACAGCGGGTTTCCACTATAACTGATTTCACAGCGTTTGTATTTCTAGACACCAGAAGTAGCTCATAAGACTCTTTGACTCTGCAGCCAAGAGCAGATCACTGTCAAACCTTTGGACTTCTGTAGCAAGTGGACCTGAACCCACTGTAAAGATCAGTTTCACACCACCTAAAACAGTTCTTTGCATCGGCACTTTACTGATACAGTATTTTCTTTATACTGGGTTAATACGATCTGTAATATTTAACCTGCAGGCAAATTATCAAACGGTCTATGCGCAACAGTAGAATTAAGACAAAGTTAAAATAGTAAAAAAGGCTCTGTAGAGCTGAAGAGATTTCAGCCAACAATCAGTGGGTTTGGCATT